TACTGGCCTCCAACTTGAGATCTCTTTCCTCTTCCTCCAGAGTGCTAGGATTACCCTGGTGGCCATTTTCTCTTTATTGGTTTTTTAGTATCTTTCTTTTTTATTATTGTTAAATTTATTTATTGGGAGCACATGCATGTGCCACAGTGCATGTGTAGAGGTTAGAGGATAATTTGCAGGAGTTAGTTCTTTCCTTCCACCTTGTGGATCCCAGGAATCACACTCAGGTCATCACGCTTGACAACAAGCATCTTCCTCCAGAGTGCTAGGATTACCCTGGTGGCCATTTTCTCTTTATTGGTTTTTTAGTATCTTTCTTTTTTATTATTGTTAAATTTATTTATTGGGAGCACATGCATGTGCCACAGTGCATGTGTAGAGGTTAGAGGATAATTTGCAGGAGTTAGTTCTTTCCTTCCACCTTGTGGATCCCAGGAATCAAACTCAGGTCATCAGGCTTGACAACAAGCACCTTTACCCACTGAGCCATCTCCTTGGCCCTGATGTATGTTTGTAAACAGCCTTAATAGAACGTATGGTTTCTCTGAGGCCAGTCTTTGTGAAAGAATCCATTAATATGACAAGACAAGTAGGTCTAGTGTCTCCTTAGCCATTTTAAGCAGAAGGCCTCTTAGAGGGTACACAGATAGTCAGCCCAGATACCCACTGACCCCAGACTTGTGGCCAGACGTCAGTTCCCAAGGGCTCTGGATTTTTTTTTTTTTTAATTCCTTCTGCCGTGGTTTATTGAGTCTTGTCTAGGAGCTAAAGTCGTTGATAACTTGTTACTGGTTCAGAACCAGTCCAAGTCTAAGGTCTTGGTAACAGAACTCCATATTGCACTTGCTCAACAGAAAGTGCTGCGGGCTTCTTGAGCATGACTGTTTACTTATAGGCTAGGGGTCTCACTCTACAGATCCTGTGGTTTCTGGTTTGCTGCTGCTTAGCCCAAATAAGTAGTCCCGATTCTCAGAAGTGATGATCGCATCCTTGGAAAGGGATGTGGGAATCTTGTGGTTACACTCATGTCTCTCCCACTTAAAAGAAATAAATTGAAAATGGGAGAAAGATCTCTTGCATCTGGGCACTTAATATCTTGGCTAATCTTACTAGAATGACCAGAAAACACTTGTTCAGATTCATGACTACCAGTAGACCTTACTCCAAGGAACCTCTATGGGTTCTTGGTCCTCCATCAGCTGAAAGTGACTAGTGGAGTTGTTGACTGCTCCTATCTGTAGAAATAGCATGTAAACAAGCAAGTGAGTGGTACATTTCGGTTATCTGCATTTACATTAGACTCTTCCATTGGTCGTTTTGTGCATGGCCCCAAGTACACTTCCTTTAGAGTTCTTCTTGGGTTTTGTCACCTCAACTGACCCTGAGCTTTACCTTTATGTTAGTAGATAGAGAGCAGCAGCCGCCACTGGGGGAAGCAGGGAGTGGGAGCTATGTTCCACCTTATAGTTCCTTCTCTGATGAGACCTATTGCGGGGTGAGAGGAGGCAGACCAACCCTGCAGGCCAGCGAAAGTTAGCCTGTTACTGTTTATCTCATGATGAGTGCCTCAGCTGGAAGAAGGGGACAGGCAAGAGTTCTACATGACACAGCATCCAGCCTGGCCTCTGAAGAGCCAGAAGCAAGGTACCACATCTGGATGATGGGTAGACATAGCTGTGCATTTAGAGGCTCATTTGGAGGACCTGCATTTCAGTAGAAAATATTGAAATGGGAGGATCACCTGAGCTTTACTGTGCAGATCCTGGAGCAGTGTTAGTGTGGCACCAGTGCCCTTTCTTGGTACACTAGAGCGTTCTGGGGCAGCAAGCAGAGCATCTGGCCTCCAGAGTCAGCTCAGCAAAGCAGTGAAGAATGGGTCTCATACTGTCTCCATCCCTAACTAAGCACTTACCTTTTTGCCTTAATATCTTCTCCCCTTGCTGGGCCTGCTGGCACATGCCTGTGATCTCAGCAGGAAGTTTAGGAATTTAAAGCCAGCCTGGACTGCATGATACCCTACCTCAAAAAACCAGGTTCCACTAAAACATACACACCACCTATAAGGCGCAGTGAAAGCAGGTATCTATCTCAGAAGGTTCTGGGAAGCTCCATGAAACTGACTGTCATGTGTGTGAAATACACAGGTGCCACTGAGGTGCTAGGGGTAAAACAGGAAGTCTAACGTCACCAGCAAAGCCCAAAGTCTACATGGTGTTTATTTGTTTATTACCTATGCAACCTTGGGCAAGTACCTTACCCTCCTTTGACCTCAGTTTCCCTCCTTATGACATAGGAATAATAAAAATGTCCCATGCCCACCCCATGTAGATTGTTGAAAGAAAAAAGTAGGTAAAGCACTCAGTCCTTTACCCAGTGCAAAGCAAGTGCACGGGAGATTTTGTTGGGAAAGCCAGGTGACTGTTGTCTAGAGGACAGGAGTTTTGAGCTGTGCCTATAGCCTTTTGATTTTACAAATATATATATATATTGCTTGGTGATGAAGAAACTCCAGTCCCAACCAGAGGGCCTGGCCTTATGTTCATTCAGTATGCAGATTTGACTTAGAAGAAAAGGTTTGCAAAGTCACTGGTAACAAGAGTTTGCCGTAAGGATAAGAGTGAGATAAATAGGCAGTGTTTTCAGGAAGGGGACATGGACCTTTCATATTTGATTTTCTTGTAGATTGGAAATTGCAGGAGGCAAATGAAAGAGCTGCCTGGGTATAACATATCAGGGGAGGCTGTCGTGAACTGTATGGTTGGTTTATGTCTTCGAGTGGGCCATGTCCAACGTGATTAATCACTTCGTGGACTCTGCTAACATGTGATAACTTTGTTTTCTCCTCCAGATGAGCACAATGCCAGGCCTGCCCACTCGGCCCTGCTTTTATGATATAGATCTGGACACAGAAACAGAGCAAGTTAAGGGCTTGTTCTAACTAAACGGGATTCTCACAGGACCTGAGCCAGGTAGGCTGACATGTTTTGTTTTCAGTGCAAACGTTTTCTTGTGTTATTTTTCTGATGCTTATAAAAATGATCAAATAAGTAGTTTCTTTCCTAGATCACTACAAGTTCTTATCTAGTAACTGCCTGTGGACTGGGGTCCCCTCCCAAGTGTGGACATGCAGTTACATTGTTGGTCTCCTGGCCAAATCATGCCATTTGTGAATCTGAACTTGAGCGTTTCTGATAATTAGAAAGGCCAGTAACTGCTGTCATCTAATATTGACTTCCTCCCTTGATACCAGTCATCTTAGTACAGAGTTACAGCTGTGTTGGAGAAAACTTGAGTTCATTTCCCAGGGCTGCCATAACAAAATACCATGAACTGGGTAGGTTAAAATGGAGCTCTGTTCTCCTGCAGTCCTGCAAGCTGGAAGTTCAGGGTCAGGGTGTCAGCTAAGTGGGTGTCCTGATCCCTCTGAGGAAGGTCACGGCACATTCACCATGCAGTTGCATCACCGTCATTTCTACCTCTGGTCACTGGGTGTTCTCCTCTTGTCTCTGTCTTCCTCTGACCCTCTTTGTCTTTTTTCCTTTATTTGATTTGTGTGTATGTGGTGTTATTTTCAGAAGGATTTGGAGGCTTTTTGTTTTGTTTTTTTGAGATGAGAACTCTTTAAGTAGCCCAGACTGGCCTGGAACTCATGATCCTCCTGCCTTAGCTCACCACCACACATAACACTTTCTATTTCTCTTTTAAGAACATCAACCATATCAGATCGATTCGGGCCCATCCTGATGATTTCATCTTAACTTGATTATTCTGCCAAAGATCCTGTTTCCAAGTAAGGTCTCTGTCATAGGTGCTCAGAGTTAGGGTCCAACATCTCTTTCGGGGGGACACAGTTCAACTCTTAATTATGGCATAACAGATGTGTTGAACTCTTCTGCCACTGGAAAGACATCCACATTAACAGGTCTTCCATGAGCCACAGGAAATTAGGGCCTTTGGATTCTGGTCACCACAGTTTAAGGAGGAGCTTTATTCTATGCCTCTTAGGCCACCCAGACCTAGGAGGTTGGGCCTCATTCCTGCCCACCCCACAGTGTTGTAGCAATATCGTCTGACTTCTACCCTAAGGGCCCATCAAAAAGAAAGTGACCACACTTCCAATCTTCCTTCTTGGAATCCCAAGAAGTTTTAAAGGCTTGGGGCTCCCTTCACATCTCATAGATCAACATGTCCTGACCATACTCCCAGGATACAGTCTTCCCCCAAACCTCATAATTCACTTGCTTCCTTAGCCCAGAGCCCCTTCCTCTCCATATTCAGCTCTGGGCCCTTGATGAGCTACCTAGCCACCCTTCAATCTCTGATCTGGGGCCCTAAGCAGGCTGCCAGATTCCCATTTCCATTGCTTTCAACACTATTAATCAATAGGGTTTTATGGGGTTTGGGTTGGGGGAGGGGATGAGCTCATGCTTGTGGAGACCAGAGGACAAACTCGGGTGTCAGTCCTCAGGAGCTGTTTGCGCGCGCGTGTGCGTGCGTGTGTGTGTGTGTGTGTGTGTGTGTGTGTGTGTGTGTGTGTGCGTGCGCACGCGCCAAGTGAGCTAGACCAGGTGTCCAGAGAACCCCAGGGATCCTTCTGTCTCTACTTCCCCAGCACTGGGATTATAAACACATACCAGTATACCTGGAAATTGTGTGTAGGTTCTGGGGATTGAACTCAAAAAACAAGCACTTTACTAATTGAGCCATCTCCCAAGCTCCATGGGTGTTTTGAGATTGGGAAGGTTTTTTGTTTTGTTTTTTTCTTGTAAGACCGGAGCCTGGGGTAGTGGCACACCCCTTTAATCCCAGCACTCGGGAGGCAGAGGCAGACAGATCTTTGAGTTCGAGACCAGCCTGGTCTACATAGCAAGTTCCAGGTCAGCTGGAGGTACAGGGAGACCCTGTCTCAAAAAAATAAGTGAGTAAAATTAAAAACTGTTTAGGGTTTTGTGAGATGGAATCTCACTGTGTAGCCCTGGCTGGCCTAGAACTCGCAGTGTAGACCAGGTTGGCCTTGAACTCACCTCCCAAGTACTTGAAGTAAAGATGTGCTCCAGTGTGCCTGACTACTTTATGTTTCAGGTTTCTGATCTTATGACCAGCCCTGCTCCCTGGGCTTTTTTGGGTTTTACAGGTTTTCACTTAGTCCAGGCTGGCCTTGAATTTGCTATGCAACCAAGGATGACCTTGAAATCTTCATCCTCTAGCCTCCACTTTTAAAGTGCTAGAGCTTTTTTTTTTCTAAATGATGATGATCTAGGCCGCTGAAATAATAGAATTTATTAAAACGAGGTATAGAAGTGTTTCATGATAAGTGGTATTTAGATGCTTGTGTTTCTTGCTGAGAAGAGGGGACATTTTGACTTTTAGCCACAACCATGTGTGTTATCTTCATCATTCTTAAAAAGAAAACTCCAAAAAATGAAGTCAGATGACTAGTTTAACAAAAAACCCATAAACCTGAGCGTTGATAACAGCGTTATTTTGGTCTTTTGTTATGACTCTGTCTTCTTGTTCCCAGTGAGGCCTTGGGAAAATAACAATACCATTCCTTTAAACCAAAAATTGACCCTGTCCTAACTATTCTTTTTGTGTCACAAATCCTACATGGTACATTTCTGTCGTCTGTCATTTGCCTCCAGAACGATATATGATTTTCTCATCGCTAATGAATAGTATTTTTTTCCAGTCTTTTGGTCAGTTTTCATTTGTTCTCTAAGTAGATCATATGAGCCCAATCATACCCTAATTATTGCAGTTAAGACTGGGGTAATGCCAGGCACATGCCCTAAGCATACACTTAGGTCCTTTCCGGATTATAACTTATATGTTCCCAAATGAGTACTGCTCCAGATTTTATTAAAAGACAGAGTGGTCCAGGAGTGGTGGCACATGCCTTTAATCCCAGCACTTAGGAGGTGGAGGCAGGAGGATCAGGAGTTCAAGGCCATCCTTCACATTGAATCTCACATAGCTACCCTAGAACTCACTATCTAAAATAAACTAATAAGATTTAAATGGAGTAGGGGTCTGTGGTCAGGACTCTGGGCTGTGGAAATGGTCTTCCCACATGCCAAGTACCACCCTCACACCTTGCACTGTTAATCACAGCACCCTTGGAAGTAGCTGTGTTCCCATAAAGCTCAGAGCTTCGGGAAAATCAGCCCTCCCCCTGTGCTCACAGAGGTGGTAGCTGAGAGCAGTCTTCATCCATTGGACTCAGATGCCTCCCCTGTCACAGTGCTCGTCTCTTTGTGACTAACTCATGTCATTTTGCCACACCAATCACCTAGGATGCTGGCATCAAGGCATCAAGATAAGTATTGTGTTTCAGAGCTGTGAAAACACAGACCCAGGGAGGTCAACACACATGGCCAATAGCTACCAAAGGCAAGATCCAACCCAGATTAACTAGCTCACATATTACACATGCCTTCCCCGTTCTCTACATGAATTTAGGCCTTTCCAAAAAGATAATAGCAGCTGGCAAATACATTCAGGTGATTTTTTAATATAATAAAGACAAGTATTTGAGTATTAAAAGCTCCGAGTGTATCAGAACTCAGCATAACTGGGCCTCAGTGTGAGGCTTTTACTTCATTCTCTGCTTGAATGGCTTTGTCTCTCATTTCTCCAAGGCTGCTTCCTTGTGAATGGTTAAATACTGTTCTAGGCTTGCTGGGCAGAAGCTCAAAACCCATCATTTGGCCCTGCTGGAACAATTGAAAAGGGATCTGGTATCCTCAGATAAAAAAACACTATACAAAGCAACCATTCCCTCTCAGTGAGTTCTCTCTAACGCTCCTAGAAACATCCTTCCTATTTCCTGTGTCTCTTGCATGTGGTAATCAGGGACTGCTTCTACCAATACTCAGCAGTCTGTGGCCATTCAAAATGTATAAATAAAAATGTTCCATCCTGGGCAGAGGTCCAGCATCAGGAAAGCACTTACTATTACTACACTGTCATAGTGACGCGGTGTAGATAGTTCTAGATCTTCGGCTGCAGGGCAGCAGAGTCACAATCCTTCAAGGAATGTGGTGGGGACGTGCTCCAGTGCCCCAGTGCCCCACATGGGAAAATCGCTCGAAACTGATGACTGCTTTCCGTCCTTGCATTTCCTGCCCATGTCACTTTCCCTCTAGGAAACAGTATGAGACTATATGTGACCGTGAGATCCAAGAAGTTACCAGAACTTGAGCTCTGCCCCCTTTGTCCAGAGACTTCCCTGTACCACTCTCGCTATTGTTAGAATAAGGGTGTGATTCATTCTTTTGGATGTCACTGAATAGACCTATTTCAAATAAGTTTTTGTCCCAGTGAAATCCATCCTGCTGTTGGTTGTTCTTTATTTTGGTTTGGCTTGGGTTTCCTCCCCACCCCTCTTCTGGGTTTTCATTTGAAACCTTTATCATGTTTTTGAGCCTCAACAAAATTCGTTGAAATGGAGAATACATTAAAGTCTGTCAAATTTTCTGAAGTATCCAGGTGTCCTCTTACTCTGTCCTGCTGTGTGCAGTGTCTGGTGTGGACTCCGATTCACTCTGGTCTTGCTGTAAGCGCCAATGTTTCACCAAAGAAAATTGCTTTTTTAGAGTTATATCCATAGAACGCAGCATCATACCAACTGTTTTCTTCCCTAATGCCTTTAGCAGAAATTTTCCAAGATACTTACTAATCAGAAACTAATCTTGAACAGGGTGGCTGCATGCCAGCCTTTCTGTGGACAGATCTGTTCCACCCCAACTCCTGCACCATAGAGAACCCTAGCACCCCAGTTCCCGTGCCACAGGGGACCCTAGCACCTCAACTCCCTCGCCACAGGGGACCCCAGCACCCCAACTCCCACACCACAGGGGACCCTAGGGGAGCATCTGGGCTCTGGGATTGGCGTTCTTAAATTTTTTCTCGCTGCCATTGTGCTTGAAGAATGGTCTCAGAGAGTGAACACACCCCTCTTTTCCCACATCCTGGGTAGGGGCCCAGGAGGATGGCAGCCCTCAGTACTTAATCCTCCCCAGCACCTAAAGACTGATAATTAAATTTTCCACATCTAGCAATAGCTATGGCCTTTTGTTAAAAGATGTCTTTTTTTTATTAGTTTTTTTTAATATTTATTATTTTATATATATGAGTGTATTGCCTACAGGTATGTGAGTGCGCCTGTGCCATGCAATGCTGTGGAGGTCAGAAGAGGGCTTCGGATTCCCCTGGAACTGGAGTTAAGGACAGTTTGTAGCTACCATGTGGGTGCTGGGAATTGAACCCAGATCCTCTGCAAGAGCAGTCAATGCTCTTAACTGCTGAGCCATCTCTCCAGCCCCAGATGTCTTTTTTTTTTTATGTGTATGAATGTTTGCATCCATGTATATATGTACACCACATGCGTGCTTGGTGCCCTCGGAGGCCAGAAGAGGGTGTCAGATCCCCTGAAACTGGAATTATGGACAGTTATGTGCTGCCAAGGGGGTGCTGGGAACCAAACCCAGATCCACTGAAAAATCAGCAAATGCTTTTAACTTCCAGCCCCAGCTATGACAGTCTTTTTTTTCTTGTTTTCCTTTTCTCTCTCTTTTTTTCTTCAGGATCTCATTGTGTAGCATTGACTGGCCTGGAACTTGGCTGTGTAGACCAGGCTGGCCTCGAACTTACAGAGGTCTGCCTCCCTCTGCCTCCCAAGTGCAGGGATTAAAGGTCTACCACTCTACCCCACTATAATTGTGGCATTCTTAATTCCCCTTAAAAGAAGCTTTGGAGCGTGTTTTATTCTCTTACAATTCACATACTGAATATTTCGTATATGTTTTGGGCTGGGGATGTGCAAGGCCCTTGGTTCAGTCTCCAGTACCAGCAAGAAAAAATATAGGGGCTGAGAGTGGTGGCCCACACCTTTAGTTCCAGCCCTTGGGAGGCTGAGGCTGAGGCAAGCAGATCTCTGTGAGATCGCAGCCAGCCTAGACTACAGAATGCATTCCAGGCCAGCTGGGGCTATAGGGAGACCCTGTCTCAAAAAGAAAAAACATTTCATATATTCTGTCTAAAATACTTTCCCAATGAATATTTCTGATGTTGGTTTTTTTTCCCCACAAAATAATAATTCATTTTTACATTACATTTTCACCTATTGTATGTCTTTTTTTCATCTATAATTAGACTTTGAATGCTTTTGTCAACCCTTCTATTTTCCTTACAGTGTGGGACCACAGCTAGATGTAGTGTAGTGGTACACACTGTAATCTGGCCTAGGAAGGCTGAGGCAGGAGGGCTACAAGTTCAAGGCCAGCTTAGGCTACGTTTCAAGACACTGACTTACAAAAAATTAAGAGGAAAAAAAATGTGGAATATAGACTCTAAACACAAAAACTCTCTAAACCACGAAACTAGCCAGCAGGTCTTCCACCCTGCACTGATGCAGTGAGGAAAGCTTCCCAAGCTGAGGGGCCTCTCCAGTCCACAGAGCCACCAGCCTCTGCCCAGCAATTCCTTCCCTCCCCCAGACTCACTGACCCTCATGTCTGGGGTCACTGACTATTGCAATGAGGCCGCTGTCCCTGAGTGGAGAGGCAGGGACTGTACCAGACCATCCTCCTAACATCTAAAATATTTTCATTTGGTTCACGTTTATTATACTTGTCATACTTCTGTTTTCTGTTTACTCCCCCAACTTGAACTCTGATGTTACGGGAGTATTTGAAGTTCCTCGTCCCCTTCTCCATCACTGTCTTCTGTCTTTAAACTGCTGGGCATCTCCCCTTGCCTCTAGACTGCTCAGTTATCTGTGGGAGGCCAACCTAACCCAATTTCAGCAGAGAGTAAACTCTCTTGGCCCACAGATAAATCCTCCCCATGTATAAATTCAGATAAAAAGCCACATACTGGCATTTACATTTTTCCTGGAGTGAGAACACTTTTTCTGAGACTTAGATGTTTTACTTAGTTATTTTTCAAAATAACCTCATCACTTTTACCTTCTAGATTACAGAGAGCTGGTATGTAGTGTATGCCTGCAATCCCAGAGTTTGAGAGGTAGAGTCAAGAGGGTTGGGAGGCTAGCCTAGACTATATAATGAGTTCAGGGCCAGCCTGGGCTTCATGAAACTTTATCTCAAAAACAAATAACCAAATATTACAAAATCATAATATTCTTTAAGAAAAGGCAGCAAATCTTCCAGGTGTTGGGTCCACTCACTCCCTTATCATCTCAAGCACATTTTCAGAACTTGCTCTCTGTGCTCACTATATAAAAAAGGAGAAATCCAAGGCAACCAGATCATTAATCTAAAATCCATAACAATCACAGGACCCTACACACTACAGATCAAAATCTAGAAGTCATAGTAATTCTAGAATCTTAGAAAGTTCAGAGGCTGCCTGGTAGGGTACTGGCTTGTGGTAGTAGAGTGCCAAGTCTGTTTCTCACTTTGTGTGTGTATGTGTGTTTGTGGGGGATGTGCATATACAAGTGTGCATACACAGATATCACACTGTCCACCTTGTTTTTTGACATGGGGTCTCTCACTGGCCTGGAACTCACTGGCCAAGTAGGCTAGGCTGGCTGACCCCCAAGCCCCAGGGATCCACCTGTCTCCCTCCCCCTTTCTCATAAGGGAAACATCCCACACAGAGATCCCAGCCTTGACTTGTGAATGGAATTCTCTGCTCTTGGATTCTCTACTGGCCTCAAACTTTGGAACTACAACACAATTCAGAATTTAACACTGGGGCTGGAGAAATGGCTCATCGGTTAAGAACACTGGTTGTTCTTGCAGAAGACCTGTGTTCAGATCCCAGCACCCACATGGCAGCTAACTAACTCCAGTCCCAGGGGATCCAACAGCCTCTTCTGACCTCTGTGGGCATTGCATGACACGGGTGCACTTACCTACATGCAGGCAATACAGGCATACACATAAAATAAAAATAATAATTTTTTTTAAAAAAAAAGAATTTAAGGGGTTGGGAATTTAGCTCAGTGGCAGAGTGCTTGCCTAGCAAGCGCAAGGCCCTGGGTTCGGTCCTCAGCTCTGAAAAAAAAAAAAAAAAAAGAATTTAACACCAAAGAAAAAAGCCGAGCGTAAACCTGAATTTTTTCCCTTTTTCTATTTTTCAGGCTCCTCAAAACAAATGGCTCCCCGCCTTTTTGCTTGGAGAAGAAAGTGAATCTGAAATGTGCCCATTACAAAATGCTGGGATAAAGAGCAAAATCAGCCAAAGATCTCTTCCTTGTTCAAGATGAACTGCTTGCAAGCCGAGTGGTGTTCTACAGAAAGACCTGTGCCTCGTCTGAAAGAAACTAATTTATTTTCTGTTCCTGAGAGTTTACAGTATTGCCTGCTGCTTATACTTTAGAATGTTTATTTTATGAGGACTGGGGGATTATGAGAGTGTGAACTAAAAGGTAATGTTTTCCATTATGGAGTTTCCTCTTTTGTCTTTTTTTATCCCCCCCACCCCACCCCCGGCCCCCCATGCTGGGGATAGAGCTCCAAGCTTTGCACATGCTAGGCCAGTGCCCTACCACTGAGCTGCATTCTTTATTTTTGTCTTTGAACTGAAAATAAACATGTTTCTAGAAAAACCACCTGGTCAGTTTTCAGTGCTAAATTAAGCTGCTGTCCGGATGTGGGATGTCACTGTCCCTGTCCGAACAAAGCTGGTGGGGTTGTCACCTGACACAGATTTTCTGGAGCACTGAGCGTGCAAGCAGAGCTTTATAAATGAGACAGGAAAAAAAGCACACATGGAGAAACGTCTGGACAACTGAGATCTTTTGACTGTGAGAAAGCAGGTCTTAAACCAAAGTGTACTTTCTCTGCATCGACTTCCCGGTTCCAGTGAAATCACTTACCTAATTACAAGTTTGCTAGTTTAAACCAGGCATGCTGGCAGGAGTCTTTAATCTGAGTACTTGGGAGGCAGAGATAAGCAGATCTCTGTGCATTCAAGGTCAGAGGCCAGCCTGGTCTACATAGCAAGTTCCAGGCCAGCCAGGGCGACATAGTGAGACTCAAAAAAAAAAAAAAAAGGAAAAAAAACAAGCATGCTAGTTTCTTCCACTGGTGAATGAATGAATCCCAATGACCATTAAACTTTCTGGACCCATGGGATAGGAAAGTAGCTCTTAAAGGTCAGGTGTTTGGCTTGTTTTTCCTTAGGCCCAACTCTGAATGCATAGTAGAGAATGTTCTAGGGCTTGTTCCCCCACTTCTGACCCTGATTTATTTTTATTTTTTTCCCTGCAATAATATAAAATTATATAAAACTTAAAACAAAACCAAGGATTCAGAAACAAACAAGAAGTAATTGTCCTCTAAGCAGTATAAGTAAAATTGTCACCATAAATATCCGAAATGCCCCAGGGTACATCCTGCAGGAGCCTTCCTGCATGCTCTCCCCTCACCCCCCAGTGACCCTGCTTGGCCCATAATGTGTCTTTATACACAATTTAGTTTGTTCCAAAACACTGATAACTAAAAGCCTGCCCAAAGGCAGCCTATCCTGAAAGTGACTTGATTTGGTAATGTTAAGGTGTCCCCCTTTGTTTAAGAACATCTCTCCACATTGCTCTTAGCCAGTCTGTTCAATACCTATGCCTATTTCCTGATTATAAGTTCTCCATATAAGGAACTCGGAAAGCAGTGTCATCGTGAGCTGGTTTTACTACTTTTTTTTTTTTGGTCTTTTTGAGACAGGGTCTCCCTGTAGCCCCAACTGGCCTGGAACTTGCTATGCAGACCAGGCTGGCCTTGAACTCAGAGATCCATCTGCCTCTGCCTCCCGAGTGCTGGGACTAAAGGCATGCAGCACCATGCCCAGCATGAGCTGGTTTTTAAGCCAATGCCATCTGCGATTCTTCTTAATTTTTTTCATTTTCCTCTGTCATATATAAAGTTTTGTTTTGTAGTTCTGAAAATGTTTTAGGTAAAACATTTTGGAAATCTAAATTCCAAGGGCTTTAGACCCAGATCTTCTTTCCTTACTGATTTTATCTGGTAACTCTTCACCTCCAAAAAGTGGGAGTTTCCTGACACTCTGTATAGGAGAGCATTCTGGGAATGCTCTCTTGGAAGGACCTAGCTACAGATGTTGGAGATTCAAAACTGTTTTCCCATACAGGGGATTATATTAGTTACTCCTCTTGTCCCTGTGATCAGATTCCTGACAAAGCAATTTAAGGGAGGATGGATTTATTTGGGCTCGTGGTTTGAGGGAATACAGTCCATCATGGCACAGAAGGCACGACATCAAGCGGCTCCACGGTATGGGAGCCTATGACTGAGACTCCTCACATCTCCACACAGAATGGACAGGAAATAGGGTCAGTCTATAAAACTTCAAGCCTGTCTACAGAGACCCACTTCCTCTAGTGAGGCTCCACCTCCTAAAGGCTCCACAACCTTCCAAGACAGGAAGTGTTCAAACACGGGAGCCTTGGGGCCCTTTCATTTTCAAATCACAAGACTCATTTTTGCTCTAGGTGTCTGATTATGGTTGTTGTTTGTTTTCTCTCATTCCATCCCCTGCCCTGTGTGGGGGAAAACACTGGTGTTGAGTGATTTGCAGTCTCCACTGTGAAGAAAGGCCCTTGGCAGGTTAATGAATAGGCTTATCCGCTTATGAATGCTTGAGATAGGCGTAGACAGGAAGAAGAGACCACCTTTCGTAGCCATGGCTCCTCATCCATGGATTCAGCCAACCACCAATTGAAATACCTAAGGGGAATCTCTGCATCGGCGCTGAATGTGTGTAGACATTGTTTCTTGTTATTATTCTACAATACAGCAGATTAGCCATTTACACAGCACTGACACTGTATGAGGTCTTATGGGTAATCTAGAGACGATTCAAAGTTCACAGGAGGATGTGTGTCAGTTACATGCAAACATTATGACATTTTCTATAAGGGACTTGAAAATCTGAGGACTCGAGTAGGAAGGACCCAGGAACTAGTCTTGGGGATACTCAGAGACCACTGTAATAACAAGATTGGGAAGACCAGTTAGCAGCTATCTCTACTTAGGCTGCTGTGTGAAAAATTTTAAAACATAACCTTTGACTTGGTAGGCTGAAGTTAGACGGCTTCCCAGGAAAGGCCAATCCTGATTTCTTTCTGGCTCTATAGTAGAAATGATGTTAGGCTCCAACTGCGCAGCAGAGCTCACAAGTGGCTGCACCCGCCTGTGCCTCACCACCAGTCATTGCGACCCCTGGAAAGGCAAAGCTCCAGACCAGAGGAATCAATCTGCGGATTGCCACAGAGAACACACAGGCGGGGTCAGCTGAATGAACAAAACAGGAACCAAGGAAGGAAGAAAACAGTCAGCCAAGCCATCGCTAGTACTTGGGGGAGGGGTGCTAGGGATTGGACCCAGAGCCTGAGCTGCACCTAGGCCCAATTAATATTCTTTATTCCTCAGTTGCCAGTCTGCATAGCTAGACTATGTTGACACCGTTATAGTAATACAGAAGTATATTTTAAAAAAGGTAAAGAGTCCTAGTTCTCAGGAACAGCCCAGAGCCTAATGCTAGGTAAGTACTCTACCACTGAGTTACATCTCTAGCTCTTGATTTTGCTTGAAACAGGGTCTTACTATACAATTCCAGCTAGCCTTGAAATCTATGGAGCCCAGGCTAGTCTCAAAATCCTGATTCTCCTGCCTCCACCTCCTGAGTGCTAGGAATATAGGAATTTGTCACCATGCCCACTCTAAACTTACCTTATTTATTCCAGAAAAATCCAGGTATAGATATTTCTATACTATTTTTGTATACCTCTGTACACAGAGGAGTAAACAATAAGTGCTTTATTTTTGAAACAGGGTCTCCCTGTAGCCTCAGCTGGCCCGAAACCCACTATTGAGATCAGGCTGGCCTCGATCTCGCAGAGATCTGCCTACACCTGCCTCTGAAGTGCTGGGATTAAAGGCAGGTGCCACCACACCGGGCTTAGTAAATGTACTTTATAACATTTGTTGCAAAGTGTATTAGTCACTTTTCTGTTGCTGTGATAGAAACACTGACCCAAGCAATTTATAGAAGGAAGAGTTTATTTGAGCTTACAGTTCCAGGGGAATTATAGTCCATCACAGCAGGGAGGCATGGTGGCAGAGGTGGCTGGAGGGGGAGCAGAAGCTAGGCTCTACACCTACCTTCCAGCAGGCACAGGAAACAAGAGCAACTGCGATCTGGCACGGCTTAAGAACTCTCTAAGCCCATCCCCAGTGACATGCTTCCTCCAGGATAGCCACACCTTCTAAGACCTCCCAAAACAGCGCCATCATCTGGGGACAAAATGTCCAAATACTTGGAGTGTATGGAGGACAGTTTCATTCAAACTATAACACAAAGTATAATCTGTATGTTCAGAAATGTGGAGCATTGGGACAGAACAATTGGCTAGTAACAGATTTTTCATATGATCATTAATGAGGATCATACCCTCAATACAGCTGTAGACAGCAAGCCCCTAAGACTCTTACTGCTACACTTCATATAAGGGCAAATGGAATACAGTTTAGCAATATCCAAACTAGGACTGAAGAAAAATTTATAAATTTATTTTTCTGTCTGACTATAACATAGCATTTCCTCCCTTTGTGAATGTCGCAACAGACCACAGTGCACTAATAGTACACGCATCCTTGTTGCCAATAAAATCTCCAGCGTTTTACTATCAGTAAGAGTTTCTGCAGGGCTGGCAAGGTGGCTCGGCAGGTAAAGGCACTTGTCAAGCACGCCTAGCAACTTGAGTTCAATCCCAGGTGGAAGGAGACTCCACAAAGTTGCCCTCCGACCTCCACATGTGCCATGGTATGTGCGCCCACACACACATGCACATGCAATAATAAAAACGTTTTACATTCCTACAGATATTTGCAGTCACATTTGTGCTCATCTCTCCCTCTGCATTTTGATAGGTCTGCCATCCTTGCTTCATGTGTAAACATGTGCATGTACGTTGCTGTCACCAAATCTGATTGCTTTTTCAATATTGCATCTCACTGCCATGCTCAGACGCCTAAAACACTATTCTGAGAAATGGTGCATCAGACCCACCAATCTGTTCCGGGGGATCATAAGAGGCAGACAAACAGTTATGAAATGCTAGCAGCCTAAATCCTGGTTCTGGGGCAAGGCTGCCTTCTCTACAGTACTGTTTCTTCTATATCTGTACTTCAAGATGTCCCCAA